TATCCTAATCTAAAGCAGGATAAAGGCCTCAATTTTACAGTCTAAAAGTAAAGCCAGAATACAATAGGCAAAATACATTCTTCCATTAGATTTTAGAGGAATTACCCTTCAATTTTTTTCCATCATGGAGAAAAACTATTATTTATGTTCTTTTCCAGACACAAACAAGTATAGACAAACAACAAAAGCTAATCATTTTGTTTGACTCTTTCGATATAATTTTGGCTTATACACAGAGGGAAAAAAGAGCCAACACCACACTTATCCTTTTCTTGGCTTATGACCTATTCAAAAGATCTAATTGCCTTTTATATTTTTTACCAGAACACACCAATTAGAAACTATCAAATTTTTGTTTATGTGCTCTATTAATCATTTTGCTAACATTTTTAATTTATAAGCATTTATCTACCACACACTCTGCAGCTTCCAAGTTATGAGTCCCCAAGGCAGTTTGGGCTGGTCTACAAGCCCAAGCAGAGGAGTCCAGCATGGCTAATTATTGTTTTCTAGGTTTAAGTCTTTGTTTCCTATGTATTTTCAATTTTTGGACTATGGAACAAAATAGTTTTCCTGTTAAGGTGTAGGAAGTCAGGATATGTTGAAGTAGTTTTTGTTTTTTAAAAGATAGTTACCATTGTCAATGAAAAAGCTGGTTTTTGTAACCCCTTATGCTTCTGGTATATACCAGAAAATTTAATGAACTAAGAAAATATTTCCAGAATTTCTATTTATATTCATGAGGTTCAAGGATTCTCTCCAATGAGCCCTTACAACCATCAACCCTCAGTTGAAAAGGGAAAAGCTCACGTGTTCGTAACTAAGATTGTGGCTGATAAAATTCATCACAGGTAAAATATAAGCAGGTCATATAGAAGTAACAAAGTTGGTAACTAAGACTGTCAACAGCAAATTATTATGCCTTTGTGATAAAACATAAAGTTGCAAGTGGATGCATCTTATCCAATGGATCCAGAGAAGGGGGATTGAATGAGAGGGAGAGAGAGAGACCTTAAAAACAGGGGCTTCCATGTCTTCAACTTTTATGCACTTGGTATTTTGATCCCTCAAAGGGCCAAAAAGTTGAGCCCTGAACACAGGTGACCGGGCTGCAAGAACCAACTTGTGGGCGGAAAATATTTCACCATCAACTTCAAAATTCACATCATTTCCCTTTCCACTTTCCAAAAGCCTCCCAAAATGCTGCCCAATATCAGAAGGTGGAACTGCAATATGATAACTCCTAGGTCCCTCTGTACGTGACTTAACAACACCAACAGAACAGTGAATTAAGAGGCAGTCATCCTTTAGGTAGTCAGATGTCTCTAGAAGGGTCCTTTTGAAAAAGCGTTTATAGCCCCTGCACAACCAAAAGTTTAAAAATGTTCAGGTACATCGCATTCCTTCTTTTGCTTATGATAGTATTAATTTCCATTTCCATGTGCTGAGCTTCTTAATGACATGGAATATGATGGTTAATTAAGTTACATTATAGTAATATGTGAACATTTTTCATTAACATTTGAAAGAGGTTGATAGTTGTGACTTCTTCTATAAGATTCAGAGATACGGTAAATTTTCTCAAATATCTGGACTGGGTTTTAATTTGATGTAAAACATGAGATTTCAACATAAGTTGCCCAAAAAGTAGTATCAAATAAAAATTCAGGAATTTCATAGTTTTATCAAATATTGGGGCTGGGTGGTGTAACTCGATGTGAACTTGACACTTCAATGTAATTTGTGCAAAAAAGTAATACTAAATAAAGTGGCCAGGTAATTAAGGGCTGCAACTAGGAGATTTAAGCCCACTGCTATCGGGGACATGCAGAACTTTAACAGTTAATAATGGAGAACTTGATTAATAGCCCCCTTTCAATTACTTATATTTTCAAAATTACCCTCAACCACTAATAGACAATTTATGACCCCAAAATTTTTGTCATCCCTTTCCATTATTCTACCATTAATTTAAATAGAATTTTGAGAAAATGTCCTATGACAAGTTGCTTAGATATTCTCTTAAAAACATGTTTACTAAGCAATCAGGCTAAATCAAAATTTAAGCAAATCCTCCACAAAATCACTTGAGAAATTTGAAGTTGCGGAATTAGAAAAATGAGACTGATTGCTTAAAACATGAGTTAGAGAATGTGATGCATCCGAGAAATAAATAAAAGGAGCTTTTGAGTAATTTTAATCCTAAACCTAAACTAATGGTAGAGTTAACGAAAAGGTGTAAATAGGAAAAATGAAATTATTTGAATGCTAATTGACTGATTTTAGAAGTCTGGGGTAATCTCAAACCATCGCAATTAATTAAGTAGTGGTAAGTAACTAATTTCTTTGGTAAAAATTGGAGTTCTAAACATGGGTTGGAGTAGGCTTCTATTTCTCCAACTGGTCATTAGCAAATTTATTAAATGGATCCCTTATTCTTTATAATTAGTAGGTAATCAATTTCCTTTTTGAATAAATTATTAGGTAATCACAAAAAAATTTCTCAGCAAGGAAAAACAGATGATGAACAGACAAATATGAAAAGAAATGCTTCCGAGAACTTTGATTGTACTGAAAGTTGAACAGATAAAAGCCACAGAAGTCCTTTGAAAATGCAGTAAAAAGTAAGAACGAACTAAAAGGAAATTCAGTTATATATTTGTTTACAAACTTATTTCAAAACCCTAATTTGTACAAAGTTTCCAGGTTCATCAAACCTAAATCCCCAGCTTAAAGTTGATCTAAGCTCAAACTAGAAGCAAATTCCTCGCATTATACAAAACCCCAATTCAGCTTTCCTCCTCTATCATCAATACGAAATATAATTCTGCTCTTTTTTTATGTTTCAAGAAATCAAAATTATTCCATACCAGAAACCTTTCAAATTAAAGAGAAAATAACTAAAATATTCCACTTCCTTCGACATTTAAAGCTTTCGGAAATGGCCATCCTCCAATTTAACAACCAAACTACTGGCACCAATCCTTCCCTGCATGATCAAAAGATTACAGACACAAAATTTCCAACTAAATCACAACATAACCCATCTGGCAGCTACAAGTTAATCCACATTTCCTTTTATCAAATTCAAGAAACTACTTCAAGAGACACTGAAATTTTTTTTTAAAAAAAGACAACTCTTAAAAACTCACCACATACTCCCTCTGTACTTGAGCGTATACGGCCCGCTCTCAAGCGTCCTCCCAAAATGGCTGTGCACCTTGTGCCTTCCCTCCCCGCTTTGATCCACAAGCGTAAGCTCAAACAAGGCCCTCACATCCGTGCCTTCGCTCGCCAGCGCGATAAATAGCGAGACGTACGCGGCGTTGTCCTCCGCGCTCTTGCCATCAGGATAGAAATATACAGCCCACAAATAACCACCCACCATGAACGTATCAGACGCAACGTACTTGCCTATCCCCATGCCTTTAACGAGCGAGTAGCCGCTAATCTTAAACTGATGCGACCCATTTACTGTCTCGGTGCAAGAGGTGGAGGTAGTGACCGGTGGATGTACAGAATTCAAGGGTTTGGAGAGGTCTCTGCAAACCCTAATTGTGCCCATCAACCAGAAGGGGAGTTGAAATTTCCGGGGATTTGTAGAGTTGGGTATTGCTATTTTCGGAAAAGAATTAATGGGTAGGGGCCAGACCCAGAACCTGATTCTGGATTTGGGTAAAGAATTGGAGCTTGTAGAGACCGATGGGCAAGAATTGATACTTAGATTTTTGCCTTGGCTTAACGATGAATATAAATTGGAGATTAATACGGAAAAGTTTTGGTGGAGATAAATGGAGGATTCTAAGTCGACAAAGATCAGAACCTACTCTGAGGTTTCCTATACATTCACTCTACATGTAAATATATATATACACACACACATATCCAGACAAGCAATCATTGCCCGAGGACACTCTTGGGCCAGCCATGATTGATCAAAATCCAAGCCCATATAACCTTTTCTTTTTCTCTCTTTATTCTGATCTTCTCCTCTTCTCTTTCTTCCTTCTTCGTGTTTATAATTGTCTCTGACCTATTCCCCGCCCAAAAAAGGAACAAGAACATGTGGATGGGGACTGGTTTGATTGGGGATGAAGAAGGTAATCCTTGCCATAAAAGGAAACGCCATTACTAGCACTAACAAAAGTGATAACAGAGAAAGCTTAGCAAATGCTAGAGACGGAACACGAATAGGGAGTGGGGAAGAAGAGAGAGACGTGGGATTTTAAGTTAAACCCAGCTGTGATCCATCTTGATTTTCAGAGTAATAAGCATTTAAACCAGCATTAACAATGGCTGATAGCTACAGCTAAGCGACTCAGTAGTACTGTACCCGACTGTATTGCCACCTGTATGATCAACTTAGGGAAGGAGAAAGCATCCAACATGTAGAGGACATGACAGGACAGATTAAGTACAGGTTGTGGACCTCGGTGCATGTTCATTTAAACTAAACTGTACTTTGGATCTTCGCTCTTTTAGACGGTAAAAGATGATAAACCCTTTTGATGCTTGGCGATTTATTTTGACATTAAAAAAAAAAACAAAAACAATGCAAATTTACTTTTTACAGATTTTAAGTGAATAATATTGAAGTATCTTTTAGTTATCAATATCCTTTTGGACTGGAACAGAGACACAATGCACATCATCCCAAAGAGAAATAACATAAATATACTATGTTTAAAA